ATTATTGCGATTGTACCATACACGGTTCATCGGAAAATAATTCACTGCGGTCGGTGTTACGTTTAAAATCCGTTATAATATCAAAACCACCAATTTTTTTCCTCCATAGAAAATAAATATTGAGTCGCATAGAAACAGTATATTATAACAAAAAAATATTAAGTACACAGGATAAAGGAAAAATAATGTTAGTAAATAATTTTAAAAATACCGTGCTGTTTGTTCAACAGTAAAACCACCCACTGACACTAATCTGGGATTTTTTTCGTGAACATTAGTATCCATTTCTAACATTTTATCTGTGATTTATAACTACGTTATTTTACACCAATTAAGATATTGATTTATTAATATAACGTATACGTATTTGTATGAAAACATTATTCCGGCGTGACAAAATCGATATCAACGAATAAAAAATCGTTGCATAACCTTCGCGCAGTTGTGTGACACGATGTAATTTTAAACCACTTCAGTTGAATTATATATTTGGAAATAAAACTTTAAACAATATAATATATACGTGTTTATATGAAATTATACCAATATCCGTAGAAATTATCTAAATAAATAAATTATAATTTTCCTGTTGAACACTTATAACACTATGGTAAACTTTTGATCGAGCTTAGCGCTTTTAAAGCCATAGGGCACATGTCTACTTGTCTTATAAAAATATAAAAATAAAAACAAAAGTAACAAAAAGTGAGATGAAATTTAACATAATTTTCAAGTTTTTTTTTCCTTCTTCGCGCTTAGAAAAACTTATACCGATTAAACAAACAAATACATGCTAAAGCACTTTCTAGGTCTTATTTCTCGTTTAATAGGATAATAATAAGATATTTTTAGTGCAGCTATTTCACTCTAATGTTTGTTCAATGAAATGAAAAAAAAAAAAAAATTTACTCAATCTGATTGAAATTTGATGAATTTGTAATAGTTATTCTCAAAACATTTGAAACCATTTTTTTTTTTGCATTACAATAATTACAATATTACCACAAAACTAATAGCATTACCTCTGAGGAAGGAGAGCGAGAAAACGAGTCCATCATTTTTTTTTCACCATCGGAACTTATTTTAAACACGAAAACTCCAGCTGACCTAAAGCGGTCCAAACGACATGTCAAGAGTATCGCGACGACGATTAAATAATCCTCCGCGGCATTCGTCCGCCAGCTTATGCTCTCTCATTCGGCCGACGGGACTTATTGTTCCCCAAACCCCAAATCCCTTCTCGTGACCCGCACGCAAAGGAAATCTCCGCCGGATTCTGTTTGAACATTAACTCACGACACGTGTGACAATTCGTGGCGGTGGCGGCGGCGGTCGGTCGGTAACGTGATTATAGATCATTAAGGATCTGGACAAAGGTTTATGCATAACTTTTGGTAAACGAACTGTAGGTGAATGCGTACGCGTACGTATGTGTTTCGTTTTCACTACATGACAAATATATTAACGGGGAAGAGGAATGGATTATATGTATGCAGATTTTCCGAATACATTCTAAAACAAAATTCTAAATTAAAATTAAATAATATTACTTGATTTTTTGATGATTTCCGACCATACGAATAAGTCACAATATTGCACCTCTTACCCACTAATGCCGGCCTTGACCATAGACCTTATAATGTTCAATAACATTTCGTACTCTTAGCACGTCGCGCACTTTTGTGTTCCAGCTGCATCCATGAAAACGCTGCCGGAGATATTTTTTTTCAAAAAGATTTTCTGGAATGAATGATCAACTTACGATCTAATTTAATCATATTCATGAAGCTTTATTGCCAAATAGCTGAATAACCCGGCTTCGCCCGTGTACAGTTTTTTGTGTTATCTATGTATAACTTTTTATTTTATCAGTTTTATATTACAGGTTGTTTTTAGATGTGTTGACCCTAGGTTGCCCGTATATTGTAACAACTAGAAATCGGTAAAAAATCATTATATTTTAATATTTCGAAGACAAATTGTAAGATGCAATTCCAATCGGAGAAATGTTGAAATAAAATATGCATACCTACAAAGTTATAAATTCCTATATAGATTTTTAGTTGAAAAAAAATGCGTTACGTATTATTATTATAATTCTTATCATACTAAATTTAACAAATATGTATAATAAACAAAATATCTGTAATATCTTTATGGTGCAGTTTTAACAATTATTATTTAAATAATTATAGCAAATGAACTAACCAAGATGTAAATAAAAATATAATTTTTTATACATTTTTCCCTTTTCACATTTTAAACCCCTTAAAGGGTCGAATTTTTAAAAATCCTGTTGGTTTATATATCACAAAAAAAAAACTACTGTCCAAATATTATACTCATAGCTTCAGCAGTTTCGGCTAGGTGATGATGAATCACTCAGGACATGTTATTTTATTTATACAAAAGATGCAATTGAAAAAGTTAAAATTAATTTTTTTTTTTATCATTTCGCCTTACCGTCAACTAAATTAATTACACCATTTAAACACTATAAAAGACCCATCAAGACCCTCATTCACTTATTATTATGCACACCTACGCGCGCTTGTGTGTGTGTGTGTGTTTCTTGTACGCGTTTATTGAAAGAATCTTTGAAAGAAACATCATTGATTCGAGACTGTTAACAGTTCAAAATTAATTATAAAACATAATCAAGTTACATTGTACTAAGTAAATACAAATATTTACCTGTATTTATTATACAGTGCCTGTATTTATTTTAGTATTTTCAATAAACACATGCTTTGTTTGTTTTATAACAATACATTACTTTGCATTCGAAATAACATTAAATGGTGGGAAACACACAAGATCTTGAATATTTGTTTTACCTGATTCTTCTTAACACAGCATAGTGTTAATTTCTACTTTTATTTTATATATTACATTATTTCTTTTATTGAATATTATCTACCATCAAAACGATCATCGACGTTTCGTTAAAAAAGGATTCGTTCTTTAACCGTATGCATATTTTCATCATAGTTTTCGTCATTATATCTTGTGGTAAATGTCATAAATAATGTAACGGATTATAAACATTAGATTTCCAAACATCAGTAAACGATTATTTTTAGTCAGGAATATGTTAACTTGAGAATATTCCAGTGATACTAAATATAAATAAAATACGGATTCAATGAAAATTGTATAATTTTAACATACACACATAACATATTCAACTGCATAATGTTTTATAGTTCAGTTCTGTGTGACTTCAGAAGTGAATAACGAACATGTAATATTCAACTCAACAACGTTTTACGGTTTCGAATTTATAATATTAAAGTGAAATATTCCGATATTTACATCAAACAATGCAAATTACAATAGTTATTCTAAGATATTATCATATTAAAGTATGTATTTTTTAAAACGTTTTCTGGGGGTACCTATCGTTAAGAACATTCGCGGAAAAAGACATTTTCCGTCCAAGCAAGCAAATGTTTTTGCATAAACAACGATTAAAAATAATATTTGACAGTATTAAAATTAAATCTGAACTATAATATGTATGAGACAAATTGCACGTTCCATTGGAATTAAACATTCTTACGTTACAAAAATAATAAAAATATTAAATAACATTATATGGACATCGAGTACGAGAGATTAGTTCTAATTTTGTTACGTAGGATATATCGTCGCCTTGGTTCAAGATTACAATAACTCAAATTATGAAACTACTAGTTTTAGAATGAAATAAACGACCTCTAGAGCTGAATAATGCAACTAAAAATTATTGCATTATAGAATCGAAATCTTCGTAATTTTGCAAATAATATCACTATTTTCGAGTAGATAGTTAATTTCCAAGTATCATAGATATCATGTCCTATTTTATAGATTACTAAGTACAATAATGGCATCAGTGTTTGTTCAGAATGTATTTTTTCTAAATACTTTAATTATCAATAATATTACATGCTATTAAAAAATTCACTTGGTCGAATATATACTTAATGTATAATAAAAATAAAAATAAATTAAAAATAAAAATCTTCTGATTAAATGACTATAGTATTATTTTCACACTGTTGATAACAGATAATGGTTTGCTCAACAAGCTGTTTTAATTTGGTACTTATAATTCTAAGAGTGAGTTGATTTACTTCACTCTTAAGTGTTTTAAAACCGTAAAACTTACTGTGTGAGGGAATTCGGCACTCACCTTATTGACTATTTAACAGCGGTTTCGGATCGTTCGTTAACGACGACAATCGCTTTTGATTAATTTAATCGATAAGCACCTGTATTTATACATCATCTGACCTTCATCAAAACTGTTCGGTATCTGGTATAATCATCATCCTGTGCTTTCCGGTTTTATTTGAGGGATACCTGGATTCACGGACATTAGGACTTTCATCCAAACCAAAACCCCTTGCTAATGGGTTGATAAGTAATTTTCAGACAATAGAAGTATACAATTATTTTTTCCTTATGTGAGAATCTCTCGATAGATAATTTAATGAAAACACATTAAATTAAAAATACGATCAGTAATACATTGTAATTAATTTTTTTTTAAATATTTTATTAAAAACTGTTTCAGGAAAAAACACTTAGGTACATAAAAAAAAAAAATGTTATTAAATATATTTTACCATAATACTTATTCAAAACGATAATTATTGATTTTAATATACCACTGTTCTTTGTTCTAAACTGTAGATAAATCTATGTTTGGTTTTATAGATTCCGTCTTTTATCAGTTTTACTGTAGTATTTTCTATTATCTTACATGTACATAACGTAATTTATATTTTTAAAAACTTCTGTTCACATATGTTAGTGGAGCAATATATTGAATTCATTTTATGTGCATATTTTTCAGATTTGAAATGTTATTGATAAAATATCAGTTAAATTGACGCAGGCCGTAGGTTGGAGATCCCTACCTTAGTCTGAACTCAAAGATTGATTTTGAATATTTAAAATGTAACCATAGTAAATACCAGAGTATTAAGTGGAAATATAATACGTCATTAATATCTTATTTGAAGGCCTTTTATTTTTTGTAAATACTTAAGTCTTCGCACATTTTGATCTTCCCTATTGTATTGGACAAACGTTTGAAATTAAATATAAATAAGATAAATACGTGAACATAGTGATAACCATTATCGATCCTTTTAAAACGGATTAAAACTAAATCGAAATCACTCGCCTGAATAAAATTTAAAAACAAAAAAATAATGCCTACTATCGGTTATCGGCAAGTTATCAGCCTGCAAACAATAAATTATTAAGTATTTTGCTCGGACATTATTAAAATTAATTGAACGTGAACTCATTTTAAAACAAAACAAATGCACGACAACATAATTGGCATGAATTCAATTAAAAAAAAAAAAGAAAAAATCCAATATCGATGCGTTGAGTTAAAAAAAAAAATGCTAAAAGAAAGAACGTTAAACGATTCGAGTGATAATATCTAAAAACGTTTGTGTGACGGATAGCCTTGAGATTTTTTTTTTATTTCGCGACCATATGCGATTGTGTTCGGCGCAGAAGACAATGGGTTTAATCACGTCGAGCGGAAACACATGAACGATAATGACAATAATAATTATAATCATAAAAATAATAATAATAATAATACAAAAATATTAATTTAAAATAAAATTATACAATGTATACAATACGATGGTTTTCGTCGGCGTTCGTTCCCGGCTAACACATGCGCTCGGCTATATTCAGCTGCGCTCGCAGCCCTCCGCCCGACGCCGACAGTTACACCACGTCCGGGTAGAACTCCGTGTCTTGGAATATGGTCTGCGACTCGCCCGTCAACCTGTCCACCGACGAAGCCAAGCACCTGTACAGGCCTTTGTCCAACGGTGTCACGTCATGGAAATGCAACGTGCTGCCTCTGGGTCTCAGGTGCATGTCGTACGTCTGGACCTCGCCCATACGTCTCATGGCCATCTCTTTTTCCACTTTTCCCAGGTCCACTCGCTCCCACACGATGTTCTAAAACCAACGTCAACAGTCACTTGGCATGACCATGGAATCCGAAGATCTGAACACTCCAAAATATCTGGATGTTCAAATCCGGATTGGCTGAAGTATCCGGATTAAACGGATTCCCAGTTTATGTAACTTATAATAATTTTAAATTTCCAGTAAAATAAATCGTTTATTACTTTATCGTAATTAAAATTTCGCAACAAATCAATAGCTATGCTTTAAGAATTTCAGTGTACTTTTTATGACTTCAACAGTGCTTATAATTTTTTATTAATTACCAAAACAAGTTTTTAAATTGTTGAGATCATTTTATAACTCTATGACTTATAGTGATATCATAACTAAATACCCAATTCAGGCCTGTGTATAGAAATCATCCAAAGGTAGAGGGAAGTTCAAAACTATATAATATATAGTAAATTTTATGTTAGATTATAAAGTCAAAAAAAAAAAAACACTTTAAAATATCCATGATCAAAAATATCAGGATAGAAAATTAATAAATGAATAAATTTAACAGCTGACCATTCAGAGAAAATATGCTTAATCAATGGCTGCATTTACAACGATCATCTACAGTAGACGCGAAAATTCAAAAGAAAAGTGCGTCAAATCGAGAAAATTGACCTCGTTTTAAGCGAAAATAGATAACTTTGTATGCATTTTAAAATCAGTTTAACTTTTATAGAATGAGGACTATCTTCTTAGTAAAACTGTATGTAAAAAAGATCCTAAATGTAGGGGTGGGTAACCTTCTTTCTTGTGCACGAGCCTGACCCAATTAACTTATCTTTAACGCATAACCTTAACTCAACTGATGTGATTATAAAAATGAGTCATTTAACAGCAAAATTGAATCGAATAATCCGGATGTGGCCACCGCTAGTAGTCACAATATTCCATTAATATTGTTCAATTCCGTTGCGATCGCGTCGTCTACGCTTCCGTTCGGATTACCACAACTTGCACGTGGCCGCGTCAAACATCCTTCCGATGACGCCACTGCAGTGGACTGCTGTGTAGCGTTACGCGAGCCTTAGAACTGTGCGCACTGTGACGCGATTTGTGCAACGCAAAAGGTAACCTATGTGTACTGCGAGATTTGAAAATGTGCGGTGCAATTATGTTCGTATTGGAATAACGAAAACAATTAGTCACACGATCGAAAATAATTGGACAGGTTTAAAACTAAATTATTCCCGTAAAATGTTTAAATGATTTTTCGTACGGCTCGTCTTCAACTGCAAAGTATTGCAGTACACACTACGAACGTTCGTCCAAATATTTCATTATATGTATCGAACAATTACGAATTTCGGACTCTAAGCCATTATTGTAATGTTTAAGTTTCAGAGCAAAACGCATCGTCTCGACGGAGCCAAACCGATTTTTAAACATCCGATCGTATACACCTGCACGAGTTCACTTCACTCACCGGAATTCCGTGCAGCATACCTAATCTAATATTCGCCGCGAACGTTCAAAAGTTTCTTTGAAACCATACACCGCCACGTATGATCCACGTAACGATGACTCACTGAAATACGACTTCTGTGGAACATTCTATGTTATTGAAACAAAAGAGTCGGTAGCATGGTCAAGGTAGTGGAAAAGTAGACAATCGTAAAATCGAAATTGTTTATTGTTTAGAGAGATCAAAATCCGTTTAAGTTGAATTTCAATGCAGATGTACATACATCGAGAAAAGGTGATAACCTTTTATCGGACTGAATATTTTTTGGGGACAAGAATTATACGTTTATTAAGTACACACTTGTTGTTCGACGAATGACCATTTACACAAAAAGCATAATTTTAAGACGGTATATGTCAAACACGTTTAATGCGTCTAAACTATGGAGTTCTTCAAATTAAATTTTATAAATTCCACGGCCATGAGATATTGTACACCCATTTGAAAGATTTAATAGAAAACGTATGAAGTTTTTCCATTTAAAATGTTATTTATCACACATGATTAACTTCAAAGACATTGATTTTGTCGATGTAATATTTAAATACCTTAAAAAAATAAAATAATAATGCTAGAATTAATTTAATGTTAAGTTTCCGAGAACAACGAAATGGTGAAAACAAACGGCAATTTGATTTGTTTTGGTTGTTATCCGCAGAGTGACTCGCCTGTAGTTCGATTTTGATTGAGAAATTGACATACCTGACACTAGCTGTGCGTTCAACTTTCGGATTATTAAGCAAAAATATCACCGATTTTTTAACCTATAATTATGAAGGCGTGGTTAACGCCTTTTATCACATTAATGATGATGTTTTACGTGTATATGGTGTAGGTCTGTCGGAGTGAAAACTGCGAATACGAGAAATACGTAAATTTCTCCGTATTAAAAAAATAAGTTGTTTTAAGTCAACAAATACAATTTAATTACACTAACTCATTATAATTATAATTCTTGTTGTTTGTTAGAAATGTTAAAATATATAAAATAGAGCAGAAGAAAAACATAAATGGACTATTTATTATAACACCTATCTAGAAAGCAATATTAATTAAAAAGAAAACGCACATTATGTACTCGTATATCGGTCGATAAATAATAGAATTGAGACGTGGAGCCCGATTTTTTTGGCTTATTGATGTAATAACATTTTACAGACTGAAACGTTATCAAAATGCACAATGAATACTGCGGGTGTGTTTAATTATTATATATAACTAATTCGAAAGTTTGGTTTTATTTCGAAAATAATGTTGATTAAAGTAAATTAAAGTTTTATTTTAAAGAAATATCTATCACGTAGATAAAAATATTGTTGTATTTTTAATTATGCACCAACCTCAATGATTTACATTATTTAAACGTTTGAAAAATATAAAAACCCTTTGAAGATTGTAACAAGAAAATATAGACATATACAGATCGTTTTTTTTTACATGAACCTCATGGATATTTTTTTTAATTTTTTTATTTTTTATATTTAAAAACTCTTCGTAAATATTTTTTGCGCAATCTTATATATTAAATATAAGCTCTTCGTTTCCATTCACCTCAAGTGTACAATATTATTATAATTATCGTCCCGTATACGCAAGAAAACAGCATTGTATATCAACTCGCCCTCGTTATTGATTATTTGTAATAGTAAAATAAACAACGTTTGATTTAAAATATTTGCTTTCGGCGCTGAGCAGGTTATTCGATGTACGTGAAACGCCATGGTCTAACGACACGTGTTGGTGGTAAGCGATTTCAGCTGTTGGTCTGTTTAACGAAATAATTTAAATTACACGAACACTATCGTCCGAATAGTATTGGAGCACACGAGATATTATAAACAAACGCGAATGTAAAACACTGTCGCACGACCAACAGTAAAGAGTTCTACACGATAATATTGCGCATCGGACTGTCTTCATAAGTATACAGGATAATCATCTTATCTGGAATTCGACGTCGTACGTACGAAATCCTGTCTCGTAAATTTTTTCGAACGGGCGCCCAACACGTTTATGCGTGCATAATATCTCTGTATACGTTTATGTAATTGAGTACAACAGTCGCAGTAAAATGTTTATCGCGCGTCCAATCTAAACGCGTTTCGTTTGCACAAGAACGATATAATTTAAAACAACGTTTTTCACGGTGTTTGATTCGAAGTTTTCACTTAACGATCCGTTTTTTCGTCCTCCATACCCCCGTTACCACTCAAATAAAGTGTAATCGTAGCGTTAATGTAAGAAAAATCGCGTTGTTTCCCGTTGGCGGCTCGTGCGGTTCGCATACGGTGGCGCACGAATAATTTCTAAGATACTTATTACAACGGGTGGATAAAAAAAAATATATATATAAATTTTACTATAGCTATGAGTACGTATTACGCACTTATAAACATATCGTCTTCTCGAATTCCCTAAGCCCTTTCGTCACGGTAAAATAAAAATAAATCGGAAAAAAAATTACTTATTGCGCACGGGATATAAACACAAAATCTAGTTTCCACAATCGACGCGACACGCTAAAAATTAGTCCGGTGCGATTGTGCTCCAAGCGACAATGTATTACCCCAACCGACGTGTCCGCGCGTGCGGCTTACTTTCGTACGACGAACGTGTGCTTCGTTAATTATTTAATCACTTACAGACACACTTCCCAACGCGTAAAGCTGCGAAAACTTTCCATTTTCTATTTTTAACAAATATTTTTGTTGATTACACCCCGTGTGCATAACAACCGATCGTAGTGTAATTTTTCATTTAATTTTTGCTGGCAGTTCGCGTGATCCTGGGCACCATAGCTCGAGTCACCACTTAGGAATCCTTATCCTGCCTTCTGCGGGCAAGAACCGCGGAACGATTTCCGGCGAATCGCGCGTGGCGAAAATATTCGTTCGGTTTCCCGCTGACGATCATCATTCGCAGGTGCCACAGGTTTCTAAACTAGAATATTTTTTTTTTTTTTTTTGCTCCGAATCATGTCACACGGTCCATAATCCGTTCTAAATAAAACCTTTCCTTTTATATGGAACGAAATATAAATGCGTTCACCACACACACACAGATCCTCAACCATAATTGCAGTTCTTTGTCCAGTCCGCGTGCGGCTCGGAGGAAAGATGCACGTCCCGCACGTACTAAACCCTGTACCCTTGCGGGAAATAAACCCCACCTCGCCTTACAGTGTCGAATGCATAACTACAACCTATCCACGACTTATTTTTAATTTTTATCATTATTTCCCATTGACGGTGTTTTCGCACGCCGCAAGAAACCGTCCTCCCAATTAAGATTCATTTTGTACGGGTATCGCGCAGTGCTATTGTACTCACGGATATCACCGGCACTGTAATCGGAAATTCGCAATTGATCTCGGCGCCCGTTGGCGGCACCAGCTTCCACCATCCGCTCCCCATACGCAATCTCCGTGTCTTTTTATTCGTCGTCGTCGAAGTGGTATCCATTCGGTTGTAAAATCCCCATCTGCAAAAATTCTCTTTGAATTATTTACTCTGTATTTATTTATTTATTATTATTATTATTTTTTTTTTTTTTTTTTGGCTCAAGTTCAATGCTGTAAACAAGATTTATAAAGGAAACGGTTTTTATGATAAAGCGATACCTCGGTGATATATATACTTTTTTAAATAATTTGCTCCAAGAAAAAAAAAACCATTTCTCATGGTCCAAATATTTATAATAAAACATCCTAAAATTTTAAAAAAACTATATATATTGCTATTACTATACTACCAACAACCATTTCTAGTATAAATTGATTAACAAATACCAGGGTAGTTTGAAAAATAAAACACACATCAAGTGTGTAATAATTGGTACGTAATAAATCGTTTAGAAATGCCTGAAACGATGTGCCGGGGCTACCGATACCCGGATCTTTATATAAATGTACACATTTACATCAAGTTATTAACTTAACATTAAGTAAAATTAATACAGTTGATTTAATAAAATAAGCGGCCGCGGTGGGCAGTACCAGGTGGACCAGAGTGACAGAGAATTGGATACACGGTCAACAGCAGACTTAAGCAAGCGAGCGTATTGACCGTGATCACTTTACCAGCGGACGCTTGTGTAAGCGCGCCGGAAAGGTTTGTACGGATATTGGCCCTGAGAAGGGCCGTTTTTAGTGTCAACGAATAGGTCCACGAATCGCGGAGCCCCGCGTGTAAATGCCGCTGGAGCCGGATTCGTGGTTGTTTTTCACGGCCGTGGTTGCTGCAGCCGCCGTGCAGTCATCGAGGTTGCTGTCTCCGTACTCGAGCGCCGTGAACGCCGTGAATTGCCTTCGCCGTATTCACCGCAGTCGTTATCGTCGTGGTCTTAATTGCCGTCAGGTGCTTCTATTTTTCTTATCTTTTGGATGTTGATCGTTGTGAATGGAAGAATGGAATGTCGATACTCCGCAATGTGACCGGTATATATACCCAATCAAACATCGACGCTCCATCATCATTAGTTGAATTTTTATCGATCCAGTCGGCGATGTAAAACGACACTATTCCCCCGCTGTATTTGGTGTTTTCGTGCCGTTTTACATCGTCACAATGATACTCTCGGTGACCCTGAAAAAGGGCCATTTTTGTCTGAACGCGTGCTCCGTTACATGTCGTATATTTTTTTTTCTTTCTTTTTCGTACACATGTCAATAAGTGTTTTATGTTTTTATAATACGTTTGTCCACATTTGTTTTTCGAATATTGTTCCAATGCATTATGAGCTAGCTAGTGAGGCGACGAAGACAGAACAATAGTTTTTCATCCAAAATATAATATTTTACTGGATATTTGATCACAAAAATGCTTCGAACTTTGAGAAAATCGTCATTTTTAATCACATATTGTTATGGTGTAAGATACAAGGTTGTTATCACTCGATTCTTTACAAATGCAATTTGTACAAAAGAAGAAAGCAATACGCTCATACACTGTTTTTTGCACAAAAACTACATTTGTAACATAACACTTCGACACGAAACCGCGCACTGGAAATAATGGTATGGAACATTGCGAAAATAAATTATTCGGTGTCCTCATTTCTTTTGTATAAGCGTACAATCAAAGTGTTGTATTCGATTCGGATAAACTCCATTTATACAATGCACATATGAATATATCTTATAAAAACTGTATACTAATCATTTTGTTACATAAACATTAATTAAAAATACGTTTGCAAGTAGTGCAATACACTGCAGTGTACATAAACAAATTGTTTTTTTTTAAAAAAAAAATTACCCATTTTATTTGATTGTAGTTGGCATATGTTTAATATTAACTAAGCATACTAACGGCAACTCGAATACTAAAAAGAATAGCGTGTCATAATTTTTACTTCTTCACTCCAATCATTTAAACGTTAAATACTTGTAAACTACCGATTTTTTTATTTTGAGAAATATTATGATACGGTATATGCAATTGAAAACGTATGTTGAGCTCGTCAACAAATAAAACAAAATTCGTTCAAGAATTATTTACAAATAACAGAATGTACAATAAACTATCGGTTGACCAAAAAAATAAAAGTTTTACGTTAAGATAATGTATCGTTAGTTCGGTTTTTTTTTTTATAAGATTTTTTTGTTTCTCTCGGCAGTACTACTTTTAACAGCGTTCCATCGTTCAACCGCGATGTGTTGTTTACGTAGGTTTCGTTATTGTGGTCAGGGCTCGACGAGTCCAATAAGAGCTTAAACATTAGTATAGTAAGTTTGACGTTTGTTTCAGTATATTATCAGTGTGATATTATAACACAGCAGTTCGTTTCCGCAAAAACACACCAATCCAAACGCGGTACGTAATAATTATGTGACCAAACTCTGCACTAATCGTGATGAACACAGTTACGTTTTGTTCCGAACAGACTCTTAGTGATCCCGAACTAATACCACTATATACTATATAACTGTATGCCAATAGATTCTATGGTAATAAAAATTGTATTATATATTGAATGCCCAAAGGAAAACTTATATTATTATAGGATCGTCAAAAACAACATGTACAACGAGATACTTATGTATACAATTCAACTCTTCTGGTAAAACGTTATAAACCTGTAGACAGTAAATACATATACTATGAGTCTTACGGAGTGATGTGTTTAAGTAGGAAAAGGTCAGTAAGCCGGCGGACAAGCATCACTCGATAAACGGTCACGAATCCAACGTTTCATACGAAATGCGCTGGATGATGATATAAGTATTATACGATACCATGTGCGAAATTAATCATTTTTAGTCAACCGACCGACTTGGAGAAATATTTCGTACGTGTCGTCAAAACATATGTAAGATGTATAAATAGCATTTTAGTGATCTACCAAGAAACGAATAAATCGGTCGCTAAGACCCGCTCGGTCCATAGAATAATGTATTTTGCGTGCTCAAAGCGAACGATTCACATCTCGACAAGCGATTAAACAAACAATACAAATTTTCACATAGATGCTTACTTGTTGTACGGTATGCCTTTCTGAAAGTTCTCTCGCATCGAAGCCAGCTTTTCAAAATATCTTATGCCGTAACTGAAACAAAAATAAAACAGTGTCAAGTTGTATACTAAAAGTCTAAATAAAATGCAGTGAAGGTTTTATTGCTATTCCAACCCATTCGCATACATACACGCACGCACATGCATATATACGAGTATATATGTGTGTACAAGTATCAGTGGGGATATATGCGTTTATGTGTTTACGCTCACCGACATGTGTGTAAACGGCCAAAGGGATATAAAATATACGAAGACGTTTTAAAAAGCTTCTTTTCTGTAACAAAGAAACCTTTTTTTTTGATTTTAAAACTCGAAAAATTAGTTAACTTTTTTCCACCAACTGTCCTTAATATGGAAAATTCAAGTTAAATCGAAAAAGCCATTGTATACACAAGCACTTATAATTTTTTAATAATATTTTTAATTAAACTTCAGACGCAATTTGATTTTTCATTACCTATCCATTTTATAGACATTACTATTTATTTATTCGGTTTTACACCATTCTTTTCTCGCGACAAATAAAACATTTATTTTACACATAATAAACAACGTATTGTTGTCAGTGTATAAATATATTCACATATATAGATCTATTATTCTGTACAACTCTAATTGTATACTATGCAAACTATTATCATTTGGTCGTAAAAAAAAAAATGCATATATATATACGGGAAAACTTTTGTCAGTATAAAAATGTTAAACCTTTAGATTTTTTACTAAATTAAATAATATAATATTACCCAGACATAGTCACAGTTTTATAGCTCGTCAAGGGGGTCGGTTATTATATGTCATAATCCCCTGAAATGTCCGGTAAGATAGGTATATGAAACAAGATCGCAGTCACTCACTGTTTTGGAATTCTGAAGTAATGCGGGAGCACTTCCGGGTTAGGATGGTCAAAAACCGAGGAAAAAAATAAAAGGCTCATAGTATTAAAAACGCCACACAATACACTTAAATACTCATGACTCGTAGAAGGGTGAGGCATACTTACCACCCAGTGCTGTAAAAGTCATTTCCTTTGTTCGGAAATCTAACTAATTGATGGTTTGAAATACAAAAGTTTTCTTTTCTTTTTTCTCTTTAGTATAATATAACTATAATTACATGTGAACAATACCAAACGTACTCTTGACGTTAACTCTGGTGGTACATTGATGATTACACACATTGCATAGTGTTTCAAAATTGTATATTTCAGTGGTTAATGTTTAAACATCTGATAAATAATGTAAGCAAACAATGTATTTTAAACTTGATATACTGTATACGGAATGGACGGATCCAGGGGGAAGAGGGCATTAGGGGCAAGTTTCACTTCCGTTGGAAAAAAATATTATTAATTATAAAGTATATTTAAAGAACTAAATAATAGTTAATGAAAATAAATGTTGACAATTTTAGTACAATATTATCACACTGTTATAAGGGGGGGGGGTCGATCCCATCCATTAAGATAACCCTACACGCGTCGATGATCTGATCAACTATAGTATATAATTTCTTCTATAAATTACCCCGACCGTAAATAGATGCTGGATCCACCCTTGGTACGCAGTGGTATAGGCATTCTATGCTACGGTTTATAAATGTCAAATTCGTGACGAAAAAATCCTTACGTAATTTAAATTTCATCATTTAAATGTGTCAGAGCGAGTAAATCCCTCGTTTATAGATTGACTCTATCCCATTTTCATAATAATAATAATAATAATAGTAATAATATCTTATTGATAAAGTTGATAAAATCCAACGCCGTTTATTGAGGATAATGTCACACAAACTAAATCGAGTGGATGTTTCTCTAGATACCATAGCTTTAGAATTAGGCTTAAAACAATTATCTTCTAGAAGACTATTTAATTTTGTAAACTTTGTCTATAAGTTAATAAATGGTAAACTTTCCTCATCAGAATTCCTAAATAAAATACATTTTAAAATTCCAACCTTCAATTCATGAAATAATCATCCTCTTTTAATACCTCATTGCTCGACAAATATTATCAAAAATAGTCCTAAGTACCGCCTTTTAGAATTATGTAATAATGTACCTAACTTCGATTTCATTTATAATTCTCAACTTAATTTAAAAAATCTAATAATGAATATTAAATAATTTACTTGAATTTTATATTATATTCACTTATATTTTTCTTTTAAACATGTTTTAATATGACATCATTCAAAATTGTTTGTATACTTTTGTTAATTTAAAAACTATACTCATTACCCCTTTGGGGTGTTAAATACTTATATAAATAAAATAAATAAATAAATTAATAAATAAAAGACAAATAACAATAATAATAATTATAATAACAGTTATAATAATCATAATCATAAATATAATAAGAAATGGTTAGAGAAAGCAACGGGTTAACCTAACGGGTTCTATGAAAACGTCCGATAACAAATAATGCACTATATTTATACTTCATTTTCAATATAACAACTTTATTCTTTTTTTTTTTTTTTTTAATTCAAAGTTTTACGTAAATGCAAAAAACAACTATTGTTTTAAGAGTACAAAAGTATTTCTATAACAACTCGCACTTTACCCGTACGCGTCTGTATACAATTTTGTATACAAGACCGCAAAAACTATACGTCTGTTAAATGTTTCATCTAAGAATTCCCTGGACTGCGGTACGACGACGTCTCAACCTGATTAAATTTCGTGAACTGTCTACGGAATTAAATTTATTAGAATCTTAACAAGTAACACTTGAACTCAAAATAATCAAAACTTTATATTTTACGAGTAATTAAAATATTCAAAACGTCATTCTCAGGCAAACTTTATTCGAATCAGTAAAAAAAAAAAACATAAACTGTGTACTTTTTATGTACACAGATCTATATACCTTATTTATTTAAAAATGTTTTCTAAATGTTATCGTTCAACTAGATAACAACATGTCATTCTATACTCGGGGAAAAAATGTGACCCTTAAAAGACTTATTGTTTTGATGCGTGTTAAGTTTTTAAGAATAAAAGAAATACAACTAAACTATTTTGACGAATACACTAATGTACTCACATCGAATCTTAAGCATAATTGTTGCATTTTAACAGGTACAAAACGGTCAAGTTCTCTTAATTCATATATTCATTTTACACTACATTATACATAAATGCGTGAATTAATAGTTTTGAAATGAGCCACAGAAAACATCATTACATTTTTGACGCGATTAAATATATTTAATAAAATAATTACAGAGGTAGAATGATTGACTAAAAGTTCAAAAAAAAAAAAAAAACTTTTATTTACGTTTCGTTTACTGATAATCATTTATAGATTATCACTGTGATCAAAGTAAACAGATTCATCATTTGCGAGTATTATTATGGTAAATTCTATCCTAACAGGTAATTTAATTTAAAATTTTTCATGAAAGTTTTAGAGATTGTAAATGGACAGTATTTCCATCCCATCAAAATACCAGTGAATACGAATCATAAAATACAACAACATACGACACGATAAAATGTAATTAAATAAACTCACGCGTAAGTTCCTGGATAGTACTGATGCCAGGACGGTTTAAGGATTTCAGCGAACGCGACGACGCACAATACTTGAGCGGCGACCAAAGTGCGCAGCAACATATTTGCGTTCATTCCTTCTTGATTATTTCTTCTTTTTTTTAAACAATATACGAATATTGTGTCTTATTAACTATAAAAACTACTTTTCGTACTCGTTTGAAATATCTGGTTCTATTGTGCCGGGGTACTTCAGTGTAACGTGTATTTTTACGTGGTTCGCGCGGCCGACGAACGAGGACGACTGTCGCGACGAACGGAAAAACGGAAAACGTCGAGAAGCTCGGACGGTACACGACTACGCGTTTATCATTATTATACTACAAATACGTAACACAGCAATATTATTATAATAACGCGGTAATACACGTGACTGTTGTACCGGACGGACGATTGCGATACTGTGAGGTAAATTTCCACGGCGGTTTGGTTTTTTATAGAAGCGGAAAATTGCCGAGCAGCGGTCGGCACTCGTCTCAAGCAATCGTATTGTGTGTGTACACGTATTTTTTATTTATTTATTATTGTTTTTTTTTTTTATCACCGCCACCGTTTTCGCGCATTGTTTTTCTTCGTATATTTTTATTTTTCCATTTTCTCTTTCCGACCGTTGTAGTCCGGTCGCCGTCGTGACCTTCCCACCAAGGATCCGCTTGTCCGCCACCGCTGCGTGCCGGAAGACTCAAAACAAGCAATGCCGTATGCAGAACACCAATTATAATAATACGTGCTCGTCTCGCACGCGCAGCCTTGATTCACTACTAACCGTGTCTCACGTCGCAATCCGACTTCGTTCTCGTATCGTTTGTCCCGTTTCTGTTTGGGTTTTCGTCCCGAAACGCATTAACGCACATGTCCGTCCGATCGCGGACGTCGGAAATGCGTTCGTTTCACGGTCAGCGGTCGTTTTCTGTTTCGCACCTATACTACGTACCGGTCGCACCGACGGCATTGTGCACGTGATCAACCCGAAGTTAAAATGAAATACGTACGCGGGGCCGTACTTAAGATTTCTCCGCAGAGGGGCAATAACATTTTGCCTCTCCCCGAAGTGTGAAACCGAAAATAAGTGTCTCCGACTACTCAACGAAAAGTTACTCGCAATTCGTTTTCACCGTTTCAGTACACCATTACACAACGTTTATAATTAATATCGAATCCAAAACCATAACTGAATTATAATTACATAACTAAAGTTATAGAAAATTGTCTTTTACAAGACTGACGGTGGTGCCTTTAAATAATTTAATACCTTTCGGTCTGAACGTCCCATCCCCATACAAATCAAAATTAAACCATTACATATATTTCAATAAATTACTCTCTACATTTTGTACGCTACTAAATAACATTAATGATTTCATAGTATAACATTTATATTTTATATAATTTTATTTATTCAAAAATAACTTTCCAATGAGTATGCAAAAAAATCGATTTGGTTTTATTTAGAATCACCGTAAAAATATTGTCGCCCCCTTAAATATTTCGGGGGAGGATTATTGTCTACACGAACCACCCCTTAAATACGGCTCTGGTCATACAGTCATCTATGCGGCACTTACTTGACAACGTGATTATCGGGAAACTTTGTGATCTTTATGAAAAGAAAAAAATATTACCTCGCGCGAATGTATTGCCGAACGATAACATGAATCTTATTAGTGTTACGTATTTGCACAAACGTCTATCGATGCGCTGCACCGAAATTTCCAATCTTAACCTGTCACTCCAGGGCCTGGGCGCACGCCTTAATAATATACGACTTATCGAACACAGTATGTATGTCATATTTCCAGGACGATCTAGCCTCGAAAACATTTGTGCGTCGTGAAATAAAAAAAAAATACATTTTCGACAGACACCGCACGTTCATCACCCCAGCAAGTCCCCTTAATTGCGCGCACCCAACAACCATCCACTGCACTTACTATATCCATCGTTTCTATCATTTTCGCTATATTTTATTTAACTTATAAATCATTTTTTTTTTTCTTCAAAACAATTTCACCCTTAGTTTCATGTTTAAAAAATGATCGGAATACGGTATTGGTTTTCGTTCACTTATATTCTTACGATATGCATACAATTTATTCATTTCATTTTGTGATATTATGTTAGTTTAAAATATGGTTTGCAGCTTACATAAAAGTATACAGAGCTACTGCAACATACCGATGTGCCGCTTCAGTGTTTTGTATAAAAACAATTGATAATCCAATGCTGTGCCAATGTTGCAAACTGTCACGGAAATTCTTTGAAACGGTTAAAAAACATTATTAGTACATAGAATTTGGGGAATTTCAAATTAAAACATCCGTTGCATTGGATCATACATTTTTTCGTTCAATTGATTTAAACATCAGAATTCGTATTTTTTTATATAGTTATACGAAAAACGTACAAAAAAAAAAAAAAAATACTTCTAATACGTGCACGTATTGTCACTGATGATGTGTTCGAAAAAAATTAATGCGTTTGATACGTGTTATTAATTTTTACTTATCTTTTTCTTCTTATTTTTTACAGTTTCTGATTGTTTTAAAATATTTTTGAAATCTCACTATATTGATTCAAAATAAAATCAAAAACGAATTTTCACAATCCTAACTTGATCAAAGTGATAGCTGTTACAAAATGAAAAAATATATAATTAAAAATAAATTAATCTCATGCTGTTTCTGTTAGAAAATATATAGAATCGTTTATGCTCATTCATAAATAAAAACTTTATTGAACATTCCAAATTTGACTCATGATTATGATACGAATTATTATTGTATTGTTATAAAATTTTAGTTCTATTCGTAAGCAGTAATTCGCTAAGTTTAAGTTTAGACCAAAGTGTACACCACGTGAAAATAATTAATTTGCACACCTTATAATATATATATAATTATGTCATGTTACCGACGAGGTCCATATTCAAAATCCCTAGGAAAAGTTTTCACAAAAATTTAAATTAAATGACTGGTGTAGAACAACATTATTATATAATTATTTAATTATTAAAATAACCAAATTATTTAAAAACTATATTTCAATTATTTGTTTTCCATTTGTTTGAAATCACGAAAGGTTTTCACAGATAAAAGCTTCCATATCTTTGTTGAAAAAATGATTTGTTGATTTTTTGATAAATTTAAAAAAAAAATATTTTCATCACTTTTTTTTATTATTTTAAATACACTTCGATACCATCGACATAAATAATGAAATTCCTAACCGTTTTCAAATATAATTTATCATTATGATTTAGAGAAATGATAAACATTAAAAATTGAATCACTTTATATGTATACAGTGGATACATATCATAGGTACGCGCAAATCGAAAAATCAACGAATTCTCAATCGATTAGTTGTGCATAATGGCCGTGAAAACATATACATTTTTTGCTAAGGTCAATGCCACACAAGAAAACCCAATAGCACTCAGCTCTAGATCATAAAATGTAATGTTGAGTAAAAAAAAATTACATATTTTTTTCCAATAAAAATTTGACGCCATTAATTTATAAACAATGGGATTTTTTTTTTTTTTGATACCCCAATGGATTCAATTAGGAAACGGACGATTTTAAAACACTATCGTACTTGAACGTTTCACTTCGTTACGTATTTTGTTATTATTAATCACAAATAATAAAAAGTTTATGCAATGCAATAGCTGTAGCATTGCATGGTGGCCATCATATAAAATATGATAAAACAATGAAACACAATTAAAATTACAATTAATGGCAATGTTGAAATAGATTGACAACGTTCAATTATATAAAAGCAAAGCCGTAAAACTTATGTGTAAGGCTCGCATGCACTAAAAATTATACATTATGCATTTTTAATTAAAAAAAATTACCTAAATTTACGTAAGAAAAGGCTCACAAAATTAATTAAATTTAATATATTTACTAATGTATAACTATTTACTTATTGATAATTTATGATAACGATAATGAATATGTTAACGTCTGTTATAAATATTACTTGTATTATTTCAGAATATTTATTTTAATTTTTATATTATGTAAAGAAAACTGAGGTCGATCAAAATATTTATTTTTTTTTTTTTTTAATAAAACACAGGCTTATCGTTAAAAAACGAATATTAATATTTTATATGACCTCATCATCTTCAAAAAATTAACTTTTAAATAGGGCAGTGTAAATTAAAATTTCTTAGGGTGGCGAAAAACCTTATGCTGACCCTGTAGTTCGAACTTAAACTTTGCAATATTTAGCTTAGAAATAGCTCTCTCACATGAACAACTTGTGACATATATAACACTAAATAATTCTGTTTTTTTTTTTTAAGGAACAAAATAAAATATCTGCTCTGTCAAATTCTCCTAGCCATTAGAGTTACTAAATAAAAGTATTTGTTAATGAAATTTTGACTATTATGTGTTAGGCATATTTTTTAACAATCTGATTTTAGTTTTTTAATTCATCAATACTAAAATCAATTTTTTTTTTTTTTTTGACAAACAAATTTAATCGTTATTTATAGTATCTTGATTAAAATATAAATGTTAACAATTCATTTAATATTCATTTACAATATAACAAGAATACTTAATTTTTCTTTTTTAGATTTTATAATATAATATGTTGTGTATCTTCATTAGGATCAATTGTACATTCAATTGCTGTTTCCTAACCAAGGTTTTACCAGTGAAATAACAGAATATTGGGGAATGCCATAGCACATGTAGATTTTATACAAAAACAAATTTAGGAGTTAAAAATTAATACAAATTACTGGTATGTTGCAAGCCGTATATGCCTTACCCGTGTGTGCACCTTTGACCCTTATATGAATAGTCTGTATAGTGAATGTTCATAGTGGCTCATAAGTAACAACTTTTTGCTAATTACTAATTAAAAGTTATGAATAATTACTTGAATCATAAGGTCATTTTTCGCGATGTTTAAGGACATTAAAATTCCAGCCCTAGTTATGACTTTACAACAGCTCTAATCACTAATAAATTGTATTCAGTGGTTCGGCAAAAAGAATACAACGAGGGAGATATATAACCACTAACTTCCTACTGAGCACGTCACTGATTTTGTGTATTGAGAAAAAGAGCTACTGACCGTTGTCAGCAGATATAACTGCAGTGAATTCCGAATCTGACTTTGCCCGTCTGCATATTTCTACAATAGTCGCTGCTTGGAAATTATTAAAAAAAAAAAACTTATCAACAGGATTTTCTATAACCTCGGTGCCTACGTTGATTAAGCAAATAAAAAGAGAATGGTGTTCTTCCGATTTGTTGTTTCCTCGGTAGAATCGTACGAGCTCAACTGGTTAATGACGGTATTATTCGCAGTGGTGGCGCGTTCTATGGTGCTCAGGAGCATGCAAGTCACCCAAAAAAATTATATAAAAAATTATCAGATTCCTATAGTAAATTACAATGCGTTATTATGCACATGATCTGTACATGACAGGCTACATTTTTAATTATTCTAATTTCTATATAGTTA